CACATGTGAATTAGATTACTATTCTTTCTCTATCATTTAAGGATCTATAATAGCTAACAAAAAAAAAAGAAAGGATTGGATCCATCAATGACCCACCACCACCCACCGCTTAATTGCCTTTAAAATATTTTTTCTTTTTCTGATGTAATGCATCCACATATGATTTGGAGAGTGTGAATACCAAATATCCAATCTTGTAAATGAATTAATTATGCAATTTGTCAGTCCATTAGCTAAAGGTGGTGACATAAACTTATTTAAGTAGTATTAGGCAACTAACTCCACTAGCTTTGGAATATTATTGAGTTATTATGCATCGATGCATTTTCAATTTTGTAGTGTTTTCTAGCCAGGCCAGCATCAATTTTATAATAAAAAGCCTAATTTATGGGGGAGTTCCTCAAGTATAGTCCGAGATTACTGAACCCTATGACAGCGACAACAAAAGCAAAGACAAAAGATATCTCCATAATTAATCATCTTAAGAACGATCTTGCTCCGCATCTTCACACTGCTAGAACACGGCAGAGGAATTGATGTTCAACAACTAATTTGAATGGGAGTACTAAAATTTCAACTATTTATGATGATGGAGACAATCAAATGATTGATGTTTTCATTCTCTCTCTCTCTCTCTCTCTCTCTCTCTCTCTATATATATATATATATATATATAATGTTCTAGAAACAAGATAATACTACATTATTCTTGCATCAGATGTGGGTGGCAAAGTCAGGAAACGAGAAAAACCACTGCTAGGTGACATATCTATGGATTTTAAGATTGGGACAAGGATTCCAATGAGATTCTACACCTCTCCAATTCCCAATTTTCTAACACTATATTGGTGAAGAAGAATAAGGGATGGAGTTTATATATATGTTTGGATGGAAAGCAATATTATATGATAGTATAATTGACAGAATTAGGCGCAGCATAATCTTCATATTTAATGATACAATTGAGCCGACAAACCAGTGGGGGTAGAGAGAGAGAGAGGTAGCTGCTTCTTAGTGAGTTTAGTTCCACAATGAAGCTCCAGTTTGATGAAGCTTTCAGAAATTGTTACGACTTGCAGCATTACAAATCGCCGGAGCCCTTGTAAGACGGATTCTCATTAAACAACAAGAACTAGAAATGTCCACAATACTAACCCTGATCTTAGTGAACGCCCATATCCCACTAGTCTACACTCTAGAAAGATGAGGCCCGAAAAGAAAAGGACTCTATAAAGATAACCGCATTTATAAACCCAGTGTAGATTTAATGGAGACAAGGACAATGCCTAAAGTCCACTCCTACTTTTGATTTGGGTTTGATTTAGGGTCTGAAATTGGGTTGGGGGCCACTCTTTCTTTTTTGCTTTCCCCGGTGGTTGGGCGCTCTTGACAACTTTCTACAGAAGGGTTCAATTGGTTTTTAGGCAGCTCCACTCATGCTTTTCATATAAATTGTCGGGGATCTGATTTTTTTTTCAGTGCCAAACTGAGACGATCTAGCTCCACATGATGGAAGCTATATGAATGAAGAACAAGGCTGAGTTGCGGCAAATTTTGAACCTTACGTTCTGACTTCTGTTATATATTACTACTATAATTTATGAGAAAAAAGAGGCCATTCGTATTTAAAATTTAATATGAAAAAGCCATCATAGCCCAGAGAAATCCTATAAGGGAGAAACTGCAGCTCAGACTCGAATGTACCTAAACAAATCTGCTTGCTGAGAAAGAGGATAATGGATACAATAATCCTGTATTGATGTCTTCAAGCTACTTAATTATCTAGAACGCTATATGCTCCATTTGTCTTTTTGGCAATAAATCCTGGAAAATGCACACTATCCGGTTGGATAAAGAGACAAATAACCAGGAAGTCCGGATGCCAAACCAATGATCAAGAACTCAAGTTCCGAAGCCAGCTCCCTGGTTCAATGTACAAGCACAATCAAGTCTTGAGGTCTTTGCTGCTCCTGTTTTAACCAAATATTTATCGGTTTCAAAAGGAAACTGAAATAAACTTTAGTAACTGCTGTAGATGAGATTCCTAAAGGAAGAAACTTATTATATAATCAGATAAACAATTAAGGAGTTGCACCGAAAGAAAAACCAGAACGAAGTTGATGGAAATGTCCACAAAAGCAAGCCAGTGTTCAGGTACCAAAAAGTAAGATTTTGAAGGGAAAGGCGACGAAGTTGTACATAATTTTCCGTTGTGTATTCATGCTGCTTTATTGGAGGGATCATGGAGACAAAAATCATCTGTCTCTGCCTAAATCTATCTAATCTTGACTTGTTAGGTATATTTTCTTTAGCAAGTGAATACAAGATTGTAAAGTCTGACGAGGAAAGTAAGACAAAGCCACTGTGATACCAACATACATGTCTCTTGAGAAAATATCAATTTCAGAGTACAGGTATGTGCACTCAAAGAGAAGAAGATGGCTTAAGAATGGGTCTCACAGCAAATATACTGATAACAGCTTAGGTTGACATTATTAATAAATTAGAAAGAGGCATTGGTTAATCTATAACAGGTTCCTTTGTTTCAACATAGTTCCTGATGCTAATAACAGGCCAGTTTACTGTGTTTTTTTTGTCATACAAGAACATGCAAACACAAGAAGCGAATATCAATCTCCCTTGTGAACCATGACAGAATTTGAAATGAACTCAAAGATGAACAATCTTAAATTCTTAATGGCTACTAAAAAACTAATTTACTGGAAAATACTGTTTCTTTGAAGATAGGCAGGACTTATTGCTCAATCTTTGCCTAGTTAGAAGTTGCTTTGATCTTCATTTTTCATTATCCTTTTAATTAGTGAAATCCAATAGAGAGCAAAGACCGTGAGACCTGAGCACTGCAGTTGAAAACATGGTAAAATGTTTGAGAAGGTTGAAGTTGAAAAAAGTTAAGGCTAATTGTCATGCAACAGAACCACTAAATCCATGTGTTTATACGGCCCTAAATAGATCTCTATTGGCTACTACTGAAGCACAACATCTGAAGCCTACTGTTCCTAAATTAAGCAATGAGGTCGAATCCAAATCAAGGCCAAACCAAAAATGAGCTAATCCAGAAGCTGTACCACTATACATTTCTGGCAAAGCCAAGCAAAGAATTTTCGACACAGGCAGTTACTATGAATGTAAAACCAGAAACAGCCTAAAAAGAAAAAGTAAACTTCAGTTATAACAAACGCATGTAAACTTTCTGAATGATTTCGAAGCACTGAAAAAATAAATCCTCATCCCTCACAAGTCATAGCATTCATTCATTGCATAGGTTCAACAATTTTAAATTCACTAATCCAAAAATTTATATTAAAAATCAAAATCAGTAATACCCTTAACTGATAAAACTATGAAAGTCATTACGAAACCTAAAAATCAAACTCAGGAAGAAAATCAAGCTTCATTGTTTTTGATTTAGGGTTTTGAAAACCATCAACTTTATATCATTGAATATCCAAAAAGGAAAAAAGACACAATCAACCTTTATTACACAACAATTCCATATTTAATCAGAAGTATCGACAAATTTAGAAAATTTTACTTTTTTATACACAAAACCCTTAAACCAAAAAAAGAAAAAGACACAATCAGCCTTTATTACATAACAATTCCATATTCAATCACAAGTATCAACAAATTTATAACATTTTAATTTTTATATACAAAACCCTTAAACCAAGAGAAAAAGAAAATAAGGTGTCGGGGCAAGTACCGAGTTTTAAGCGAGTGGGAGACGATTTTTAGGAGTAGGTGTGCGGACGGTCCTTGGCCTTGTCGGGATTACCATCATCGTCAGGGTCAATGGTGGTTAGGTTAACGCAGGAGAAGCACTCGAGAGATGAGAAAAAGGCGGAGACCACGGTGACGCTGACCCAGCTGGCTACCTCTTCCAGCTTCTCGCCAGAGACCTAGGTGGATGGGGACCTCTCACTGTTATCCATTCTTGTTCTGAAATCGATTTGATTGGATTAAGAAGATTTGACGGCGGATTGATTGCAGAGGGCAGGAGCCCTGATTGTTTAATCAGGGAGGACTCGGACTACTTTTGTCTCTCGTCTGGTAACGGGGGAACCAAAATACACTTGTTCACGATTAATCAATTTTAATCTTATAAATCAAACAACGAGCCGCGCATCTGGTGTAGTGGTATCATAGTACCCTCCCACGGTACTGACCGGGGTTCGATTCCCCGGATGCGCATGATTTTATTTCCTTTATTTTTGTTTTTGAAATGGGCCTGTTCAAGCCCAATGGTACCATTGGGCTTGAATTGGATTGAGTCCAGATTTAAGGTTTAGTTTGCTTGTTGCTTTTTTATTATTATTATTTATTACTCGTTTTCTGTTATTATATTTTTTTTTTATTTTCTATCACAAGAATAAGTAGCAAAAACATTAATCAAATATAACTTTACATAAAATTTGAACAAACCCAATCAAAATCAAAAGAGGAAACGACACCAATTATAGTTAATGAATTAATCGCCTTTTTTTTTTCCTTTCTTGGGCTATTTGGTTCAAAGAACATGAAAATTATAATTAAGGACCAAACTGTTAGGCTTCAGCCAGAAACTTAGGATGGGGTGCTGCAAATAAATAAGCTTTATCCATCACAATATTGCAGAAACACACAATCATTATTACATATATTTTTAGTTTTTTTTTTATCAAAATAAATGATATACCTTTACTAGTGGGCTTGACAATAACAAGAAGATCCGTTTTCTTTATTCAAATAAGATATTGAGTCCAGTAGGTTAGAATATTAAAATTTTAATTTTGATAATTAAAAAAAAAAACATAAAGTTAATATTATTTTTATAAAATAATAAAGACGTGACTATGTAATTCACATGCAAAATCCATGTTAAAAAAAGTTAATATTATATAAACTCCAGAATCATGAGCATCAAAATCAAATCAATAATAATAATAAAAATATATAAATACGTTTTGTTGTATGTACGTTTCAATAACTATTTGTTCATTTCAGATGATGTTGAATAAAATAAAGAATATTGAGGTGACATCCAAAAACAGTAAATTCCTTGCAAAATTGTTCTGCATTTTCATCCATCCCTTATGGAATATTCCAGGTTGCTTGTTGACAATCAAATTGGTCATAAAGGAATTGTAAGTTGCGTACCAGAATATGGATACGAGCATGATGATGACGATGACGTAGACGTAGACGCAGTCCCTATCTTCTGTTAAGCCTATGAAATTGAGCCAAACAAATACTGCGAACCCGTCTGCAAATATCGTGTTTTGCCTCGTGATTAGCGAGTTTCAGAAGACAACAGAAGAAAAAGACTAAAATATTAAGCCCACTGCTTGTAGTTGTTGCCATGGCCAAGCCTGATCATCAGACTAGAAGTATGACCCCTGGGGACTTTACCACGGTCTTAGCATCTGAAGGGGTTGAATTCCTTTTATCCGGTGAAGGAAGGGTAGGTACTCCTGCAAAGAAACCTTTTTTCGTATTTTCTCTTTCAACTCTCAGTTGCAATTCTTTTTTTTTTTTTTTTTTTTTGGGGGGGGGGGGGGATGAGAATAGAAATTTAATTATGCAGTGATTGGATCCTTAGAATGTTTAAAAGGAAAATGGGTTAATTTCTCTGCTGAAAATTAATTTTCAGATCAAATTACTGAACAAATATATACGACTATGTGTTTAGGTACCCTTAACTTCATTTGATAATGAGAAGATGATCTGCCTATTCTTCTCTGCAAACTGGTGCAGGCCCTGCAGAACTTTTACCCCCAAGCTGGTGCTGCTATATAACATGTTAAGAGCACAGGACAAAGAGATAGAGATTGTCTTTATTTCATCGGACCACGATGAGGATGGATTCAATGCGCACTTCAAGACCATGCCATGGCTGGCCGTCCCATTCAATGTAAATTTGCATAAAAAATTACGTGAGAGGTTTCATGTTGTTCGCATTCCCTCGCTTATTCCATTCAGCTCAAATGGACAATCAATTGAAGAAGACGACGACTTGATTGGATTAGTTGAAGACTATGGTGAAGATGCATTTCCCTTCACCGGGAAGAGAAGAGAAGAATTGAAGGCTATTGATGATTCGAAGCGTCAGGGAGGAAAAATAGATCAACTTTTGGCACATCAAGGACGGAATTATGTTGTTTCCAGAGATGGTGGAAAGGTAATATATGGTATAGGTGATTATACGCAAACAACATACGTATAAGTTATGAACCTGTTATGTTTGGGTTTTGCAGATATTATCATCTGAACTGGTTGGGAAGACCATAGGCCTTTACTTCGGTGCACACTGGTGTCCTCCTTGCCGTACTTTCACTGCACAGCTTGTAGAAGTGTACAAACAGCTAATGAGCAGCAGGGGAGGAAGTTTTGAGGTTATTTTGGTTTCTACAGACAGAGACCAGAAAGAATTTGATGTCAATGTAAGCGGTATGCCATGGCTAGCACTTCCATTTGAGGATAGGACACGACAAGATCTGTGTAGGATCTTCAACATCAAAGCCATTCCTGCATTAGTTCTGATTGGACCAGATGGGAAACCTATGAGCACAAATGGGAAGAGCATTATCGCCCTTTATGGTGCAAAAGCTTTCCCATTCACTCAGTCAAGTATAGAAGAGATAGAAGCAACCTTGAAAAAGGAAGGAGATTCATTGCCTCGCCAAATCCAGGACAAAAAGCATGAACACTTGCTTAAATTGGACATGGCCAGAGCATATGTGTGTGATTACTGCAAAACACCAGGAAGGTTCTGGGCGTTCTCTTGTGATGCGTGTGACTACGATCTTCATCCAACTTGTGTGGAAGAAACATGTTAAGATTGCTATATACATAAAGGTTTTGAGAGATGAACAGCCTCAGTTATTCTGAATAATGTCTATTTCTAGCTTTTTGGTGTGAATAAATGTCGCTATACTTTGTAACCTCAGTATACCATACGTTATACATCATCATTCTTAATAATCTTGGAAACTGCTATCGGACTTGGAATACATGAATTTGCTTGTAAGAATCGTTTTTTTTTTTTTTTTTTTTTTTTTTTTCTTGTCCACTAATTCCGATCAATTTCGACTGCATTTGCATTTGCATCTGATTTCTTATGCTTCATCAAAATACTATACTGCCATAATCCCTGCGGTGTTCTGAGATTGGGAAATATGTTCAACCTAACACAGATGTCAAACCCTCTTCATTGCTTTGAACAAAAAAAGATATCCAAAAAAGGAAAGAATTTCCTCTAATCCTGGAAGTTCCTTCTTCCAGAAATCACTTGATGTCAAGTTCCAAGGAAGTATGCTCCAACAGGAAAATAATTTTAGGAAGAGGACTGAAGTAACTTCTTGTAGTCCTGGAAAGTTCCATGGAAAGGGTTCACCTTGCCCTCAGACACCGCCCATAGTTCTTCTACACTTCCAGATATCAGGTGTTCATCATGACTATCCTGCAGGAAGAACACACACAATTCCAACCCAGAAGTTCCAAAAAAAAGAGCAATAATAATCTTAAATATTTGTTTAATGTGCTAAACAAAATGACAGAACAAGACTGATATACCGTTAGAATCCCTCCTTGGAACAAAACTAGGCCTTGAATTAGAGCCTCCACAGCATCCAAATCCTAATTTTAACACCATTGTCCAAGTTAAATGCCAGAGTCAGTTGTCATAGCACTGTCAGCTGTTATAAAACTTTCCACACAAAACAGGGAACTAATAAAGACTTAACCATATCTTAATATCAGAATATAATAAAAAGTCAATGACTTACAAGATGATTGGATGGCTCATCAAGCAATATTATGTGTGGTTTTTTGAAAGTATTCTTTGCAAAAGCAACTCTGCTTTTTTGACCACCTAGCATTGCCAATCAAAGAAATTAGAAACACGTAAGCACATATGTAGACACATGCATATATGATAATTCAAAATCCTTGGCTATTAATAGGACTGACTCTTTAATAACATCAAGAAACAGCATCCTGTTACTTTTCACTGTGGGCCTTCAATTAGCCGGTATAAAAACCTTTCGAGATCCAAAGTTCAGTCCCCTCACTAAATATCAATTAAATACTAACCTCAAATTATCAGTGATATCCTAACTTAAGAAAATAAACATACCAGACAAAGTATACATTGGCTGCAGTGCAAGATTTCCTGTCACACCAAAAGAACCCAAATGGCCACGAAGCTTTTGTTCAGGCACTCCCTGCAAGACAGATACATCAAACAACAGATCTAACCACGTGAAGTTATTTAAAGCCCCACGAACAAGAGCCACCAGAAATAAGAAGGAAATAAAGAAAGATTGCCATGAAGGCCCTTGAAGCACTGTAGATGGTTCTCACAAGTCACATCACACTTAAGGACTAAGAAAAACACAAAAATTTACCGGATAACAGCGCATCATATATAGGTAGGGGATTCGAAGACAGGTCTAGCCCATCAACATGGTGCTGACTGAACACAGCAATGCGGACCTGTTAATATAATAATGACAGTCTCCTTCAGCCTAACATGTATGAAAACTGTTACTATTTTTTTATTACAGGGAACATCTTGTTATTAATCCTTATGTCACATAATTTCAGCCCCCTTTAAAAATGCACAAATTATAAGGAGTGTCTTTCAATGTGTTCTATCTATATGTCATCCAATTTCGAAAATCCTATCCCCTTATAATTACAATCTAAAGGAATGCTACTTTCCTATAGTATAATCTTTCATCTCTTTTTTCAAAACTTATTTTTTTTTAACGCTAAACAGCCTTAAAGATTGATATCATCGGAGAATTTTAAATTTTCTAATTTAGAAAAGAAAAGGTTACACAGCATCTACTGTTTCCCTAAAATTGCATCCAATGTCAAGCACAACATTCAATCAAGGGTGGAAGGAGTAATTTATGATACAGTACAGGGTCCAAATGTGGAATAAGTAACTAATGGTTTCTCTTAGTGATGTACAAAACATTTTGGGACAATGACAATCTAAATTTAAAGAAAAACCAATATTATGGGATAAAGGGGTCTAAAGCCAATTACAATGCTGGTCAATAAGGAGAGAAAGATCATTAATGTATGCGGTACAGGATAAATCTCTGAATGGTGCAACTCAGAAGAAATTATAGTGAGTAGTTTAGGTCCGAACATACAGTATGAAGAGGAAGGGCCATAAAAATAATAAAAAAAAGGCTTACCCATAGAGTACACTCCCAATTTCCATTACTTGAAGCAGTATGGTATCAGATATCATTAAAGAGGAAAAGATTAAAGTGATGATGAATGAAAAGAAAGAATCAAGTATTTATGGTCAAATCATAGGAATAGGTCTCTGATGGAGAGACTCTAGAGACAACACAATAACTAGTTAAATCCACCAACTCCAGAGAGAAAAATAAAACACAACGAGAAGGGAAAAGTTCAATTGTGCAAGATAAAATAACAGTATTAGAGTTGTGATTTAGTAGTGATGAGTGGACTAAGAAAATATGTAACATAAACAAAATCAATTATAGGAAAATGGAAAGTTTAATATACCTTAGCTGAACGAAAAACTGTCCCAGAGATTGGTTGTAGTTCCCCAGCAGTTAGTTTAAGTATTGTTGACTTACCAATCCCATTTGGACCAACCACTGCAAAATGATACACGGATATGGATAGGGTGAAAATAGGAGGAAAAAGTGAACCAGACAAATGGCAAATTATCCAAATCATGCAGTAAAGACACTAATTTCTTGAAATCCATGATTGCTTCAAAATGAGCATTTAGACACACCATAAATTGGAATGACATCTTCATCTAGTTTTTTCTATAAGTGTATTACACAGGGTATAAACATATTTTGATATGCAAACCCTTCTCTTTTTTTTCTTTTTTTTTCTTTGAGGAGGGTGTGCTATGTGATTGTTTAAGGTGTAGGAAAAAGAGATGGATGTGGCTCTATAGTGGAAAAATTAAAAGAAAAACCTCAAGAAGCAATTATCCTTACTTGCTATGCGGCTGTCTAGATCTATACCAAAATTGAGATTCTTAAACAATGTTGGCCCCCCAGGATAGCCGAATGATGCATCACTGCAAACAATTCAAGAAACATCAATTCTGACCAATAAGAAGCCAATTTAAAACACTTCAAGAAGGACTCAACTTGATAAAACTTGAAGTAATTTGTAGGCAGATGCCAAAACAAAGTGAGAGAAGTTAAATGTAAAGAAGCACCAATTTGGCATTTGGCACTTTTCAGAACTGACATTGTTATTCAAAATTCCTCTAAAGAAGCTCCAAAAACAAACCTGAAACTTATGATAGGAGCCCCTGGTCTATCATCTGGAGTTGGAAACTCAAACTCGTAACTGAATAACAAAATGGCCAACTCAATTGTAAATAAATAAACTCCAATGGGATCTTAAATCAAATTCAAGGTCTTAAAATTGATAAGATTAAAGCACTGAAGGAGGTATACTCAGGGTCATTAACAATTTCATCTACATGCTCCATCCGCTCCACCGCCTATAGAAGTAAATGAAACAAATCAGCTTACGCATATCCACAGAGAGAATTGGACCAATAGCAGCATAAAGGTTTTAGAAACTACTCTAAAATCATCCCAAATAATATTTAACAATGACCTTGATTCTGGACTGAACAAGGGATGCTCTCTTTGCATTATACCTAAATTTATCAATAAAAGCCTGCAGATCCAAAAAAGGCATTTAAATGTCAAATACAAGGTACTACACTTTAATAGATGCCAAAACAAAAGGAAATATATCATAAAAAGCACCTGGGAGCACCCTGACCATATAAAGCAAAGTAAAAACGAATCTATCACTTATCAATGGAAAATATATCAGAGACAACAGTGAAGGTTATACTTGCAACCATGAATGGAATACCATTAATATGCCAACTTAGTTGGACAGAGATTTATAAATATTAAAAGCAGACTTGCCATTTCACTATGTGTAGGATGATAATATTACAGGAGAGGGGTGGGGAGGAGGGGCCCTGGAAGAGGAAGAATTAGTTACTCTACAGAAATATTAAACAACATGAAGAGACATAAAAAGAACATCAATGAACAAAAGCAATAGCATTGACTTAATTTTATTAAAATGACCATAATCAGAGAAGACAATGCAGCATCATTCTAGTGTTGTATAAGTTTAGTTCAATGGAGAAAACCTGCATGTGGGATCTTGCTCGTTCATTTGCCTCAATGGCTTTCTGTTGGTTCTTAACCTGTTCCTGTCTCGTCTTCTCAAAGGTATCATAATTTCCTTTGTAGGCCATCAATTTTTGCCCTTGTAGATGAATAATGTTAGTAACCACCTGAAAAAAAAGGCAAAATTTTAAAGAGAGAAACAGAAAACTCTTGTTTTGTTACAGAAAATTATTATATTAATCAATAATAGTTAATAGGCTAAACTAGAAAAGAAGCAGCTAAAGAGTAATACTGTGTTCAAGAATTCTCTAGCATGAGACACAACTATAAATGTTTTTGGCCACTCCACCAGGTAAGACTCCAGCCATAGGACAGCATGAAGATCAAGATGGTTCTGCAAATAATATAAAAATTAAATACCTCCAGGTTCTGAAAAATAATGCATGCCATGAAGCAACATTAGACATATAACTTACAGTCGGTTCATCAAGCAGCAACAGATCAGGATCTATAAACAGTGCATGGGCTAGAGCAATTCTCATTCTTCATCCTCCAGAAAATGTTTTGGTGGCTTTCTGCTGCATTTCTGGAGAGAAACTGAGACCCTGGAAATATTTTCAGCCAGTGAAATTAGAATTTAAATTGAATGAAGTGATGCAATAATAAAACTAAATACAATGTTTTTAAAGGAACTTAACTTGCATGACATATTTTCTTTCATTTATATACTATATGAGTAGTTAACAAGGACCAAGAAAGCAAGCACACAATTAATTCGAGAAATTTTATAATTTGAGTGATTTGGAACCCATCCTTAGTCTTTATCATGCTTTGTCTTGCTGCAGTCACTTTTCCTGACATGATATTAGAAGGTTAGCACACATCAACCATCACAATTCTACAACCTGTCTTCTTTAAATCAAATAAAATTCTTTCTTCCACTGTTTCTTTTTTTTCTTTCAACTTTGACTTATTTTTTCATTTTCATTTCCAATTATTTAATCTTCGATCAAGCAGGCACTTTTAAGTCACCAACCAAATACAAGATTTGAGAACTTACTGCAAGAATAGAAGCTGTATGAGACTCTGCTGAATCTGCATCAATGACCTCAAGCCTTTTGTATATCTGCCCTAGTCTTTGTGAGATAGAATCTTTACCAGGCACCCCATTTAGATCTTCTCCTCTTTCCATTGTCATCTTCAACATCCAATTCTCTCTTAAGAGAAACAATAAATTTATCAGAAGGATCACCAGATAAGAACATAAACAGTAAATGGATGCGAATCAATACAAGATTCATTGCTTTCTTAGATAAAAAAAGATGATTGTTTTCAACCTGCCGTGCAAGTAAATGAGCTTCCTCTCGCAAAAGCTGGGTTCTTTCAATATCAGAGTTAAGAACACACTGCAAGGCTGTTGTATCATCACCAACTACTTCTTTCTCGATGTGTAGAATCTGGCAGTTTGGAGGAATTCCATCAATAGCATGCATAGCCATGTGCCTAAGGAATGTTGTCTTCCCAGTACCATTTCTTCCCACAAGACCTGCAGAGAGAATGACATGATAGATTAGAAACAACTAAACAAGAAAATGCTGCAAGAAGAATCGACAAGGCATCTGTTAAGGGAACACTATCCCATATGCATCTTCATAAAGTTTCTTAATTTTCTTCTTTTTCTTGGAATGAGAGCAATACTATGTAGGTTAAATAAGGAACATAACCCACCATAATGCCTTCCAAAAGAAAGTGTAACTGAACCATCAACAATGAGATCACGGCCACCAACAGAAATATTGAAGTTCTACATACGAATATCCCTAACAGCCGATCCACCAGTATCATGATTCACGCAGACAACAGGCATACCTTCCCTAGCTGCTTGCATCTCTGCTAAATGCATTTGGTACTGCACCTGCACAACACGTGATAGAAAAGCACAATCATAAAAGAACACGAGTACAATAACTAAATAGTTTCTTAGTTGTTTAACATTAATGCAGTTGAACATAATCAAAGGCGCGATCAACATCGTCTAACATTACAAATACAAGAAGATTGACAATTGATATTGATTAGTTATATCTCTCTTTGACGCTCCTCCTTCCTCTTCCTCCTTTCGAGCTTCATTTTATCACGTTCAGACAGTAGTGGACCATCAAACGGCTCTGGCATTTTCTTGGGAGCCTCCTCCTCCATACCTTCATTCATTCTGAATGGAGTTGCTAGACTCTGGACAGTTCGCTTCGGTTTAACCAACACATGCTTTCCAAATTTCTCAGATAGTTTACTACGAACCTACCATAAATTCCACAACAAAATTACAAATACCGCCCCAAAGATGTCTGTTTTTTTAACCATTATCCATGTAATTATTGAATAATGAAAATTGAGAATTGGTGGAAGTCACCTGGAGGCACTCGGAAAAGTCAGAGACACAATCGGCAGCGACGAGGAGCTCGCCGATGGCGTCGAAGGCGCCATCGCCGTCTTCTCCGAAGTCGAAATCTTTGTCGGCGAGGACGTTGATGATGTAATCAATGATAGGTTGATCCACATCCTCCGCTCTGCGGCCAAGCACCTCGTGTACCACTGAGCTCGCCACTTCAGTCATGGCAGCTTCCAATATTTTCTTTCTTTTCCCTTTTTCCCTTTTCCTTTGCCTCTATCTAAGAAACGAATGACGAAAGGAAATCGGAGGAAAAGGTTGGCTCTTTCTTAATTTATATGGAAGGTTTTCAGGTTTTGCTGCTAACAACCGATGAGACGGGACATATCGGAGATGGGTTTTATCAGTTAAACGACGGCGTCTGCACTCAAAGGTACTACTTCTATGAATCTACTCTCATTTCTATTTTTCCCTCTTTCGTAATAAATTTTGTACGACTCCTAACTTTGTATATAACTTTTACGCTCTGTTTGGTAATCATAAAATTCATTTCTGAAAAAAAAAATTTCTGCGTTTTTGATGTTCGGAGGGGAGAAATTATCATGTTCAACCAGAAAATATTTTCTGGTTAAAAAAAACCAAGCACAACACTCGGAAATTGTCTTCCTTATTTTTAAACGGAAGACAATTTCCAGGAAAACTGTCCTGACAAACCCAGAAATCTCACATAAACTTGCTCTCTTTTTCCATCACCAGCCACCGTTGGATATCAAGGGAGATTCTTCACATTTTTTGTTGTTCTCCTCACTTCCTTGTTTTTGCAGCAGCTTCTTTTTCGCTCAGTGGGTAAGGATTTCTTGCTCTACTCTACCTTTTGTTTTAGTTACAATAACTCATTTTTGCTTCATCTCTTTCAAAAAAAACCCACAAGTAACTTCAAATCTTTATCCCTTCTCTCCGAATCCTTCAATCTTTCTTTTATTCTTTTTTTTTTTTTTATAACCATCATGAAACCCATAGATGTCTCATATTCTTCATCTTTTTGTTTTGTACTTCTATTTTTCTTCATTCCCAAATAATTTTTGTACAAACTCAAAAACTACAAAAAGATCTCCAGCAAAGACTTACCCACATGAAATGATCTTTCAATTTAAAGATTTTGAATGGGTTTTATCAATTTGAAAAGGATATCATGAATTATAATGCATTTTTATGGGTTTTCGTTTGAATTTTTATGAACATGGATGCGTTGAGTTTTGGGTCGATGAACTTGCGTGGGTATTTGATGAATTTTTTATTATTAAAATCATAAAAATTAATATTAAAATATAAAATATTCATGAAAAATGTTAAAATCATAAAAAAAACATAGACGAATGCTGGTGGAAAATATCTTTGGTTTGTCATCCAAATATAAAAAACTATTTTTTATAAAATTTAAAAAAAAACAGAAAATGCTGCTTTTTTTTTTAATTTCATAAAAAATATTTTACTTTAAAAAATTATTAAACGGAGACTTAGAATTTTGGCTTTTCTCCAAAATATTTTAATAATAATCCATGGAAAAATGTTAAAAATACCAAACAAAGGAAAGAAAAACTCCACGAAGAAATACACTGGAGGTTTATCCCAGATTGACACGCATCAACCAACGTGTTTTTATTACCTCCTGCAGTTGTACGTGTTAAAACCGGAAAAAGCAGTCTAACCCGTCCAAGGGTCCTGGAGCCTGAAACCCGCTAACCCAAATTCAACGTCTCCTCATCTTTCTCCGTCAGAAATCTTATATAAACAGAATCTGATTCCAAAACACACCACAAGGCCGATAATTCTAAGTCCTATCGAAACACCCACCTCGTATTTCGTGTCCGCCGTCAGTTCTTCTCTCTATGCTTTTAAATTTGTTTTTTGAGTAATTTTCAGTGAGCTGAAATTTTGTTTTTTCCTTTTTTTTTAGGATTTCTTTTTGGAAGATGAGGCTGTTAAAAGTAGCCACCTGTAATTTGAACCAATGGGCAATGGATTTTGATTGCAACTTGAAGCACATTAAGGAATCCATAGCAGAAGCCAAAGAAGCTGGTGCTGTCATCAGACTTGGACCCGAGCTCGAAATCACTGGCTATGGCTGTGAAGATCATTTCTTGGAACTCGATACAGTCAATCACGCGTGGGTTCCCTTTTTTTCTATATTTTTTTCTGGGTTTTTTCTTCAAAGATTCATGGAACTTTACTTTAATTTGTGATTTTCTTATAACTCGGATTATCAGTCATTTGTTGGTTATTAGAATCGACTTGAAGTACATTGCTTCTTTTATAGAATGCAGCATATGTATATATGCTATTAGTTTTTTTTTTTTTTTGGGTAAATTTACTGTATATGTAAACTGAAACATTTTGGTATTTTTAATTAGGAAAGTACCCATTTTTTATTTCTCAAGGATAATGATTGGTAGATTCACTGACCCAAAGAATTCTTCATTGTTCTTGTAGTCATGCAGGTGATGATACTTTACTTCTCTGACATGACACCTGGGGTTATTTGTATGCAGGTGGGAGTGCTTGAAAGAAATACTGCTTGGTGATTGGACGGACGGGATATTGTGCAGCATAGGAATGCCTATTATTAAAGGATCAGAGCGTTATAATTGTCAAGTTTTGTGTTTTAACCGGAAAATTGTCATGATACGGCCAAAGATGTGGCTTGCAAACGATGGCAATTATAGGGAGCTTCGGTGGTTTACAACATGGAAGCAAAAGGATCAGCTTGTAGAATTTCAGCTGCCACCTGAAATTTCAGCTGCCTTGTCACAGACATCAGTGCCTTTTGGTTATGGATACATTCAGTTTTTGGACACGTAAGCATAACATTGCTGGTTCTGTTTTTATTAGTTTGCTATTAGGTTTTCTGTCTTAGCCCATAATGATGTCTTAACCGGATTACCTATTGATTAGGCATTATTGACTTATCCTATGTGTAATGATAAGAGTCATGTCTGTTCTATGTAATGATGCAAATGTAACTTCATATGCAAGTAGGTTACACTGCACTTTATAGGAAACTTTGTCATGGTTTCTTGATGAAATGCTAATATTTTAAGCTGTTTTTATCCCTTGTTAGAGCTGTTGCTGCTGAAATTTGCGAAGAGCTTTTTACTCCTATTCCTCCCCATACTGAGCTTACATTGAATGGGGTTGAAGTTTTCCTGAATGCCAGTGGAAGTCACCACCAATTGAGAAAGTTAGACCTTCGACTTCGGGCTTTTATAGGTGCTACTCATACTCGTGGAGGGGTTTACATGTACAGTAACCAGCAGGGCTGTGATGGTGGTCGGCTTTATTATGGTAAATAATATGCTTTTAGTACAGATATACATTTGTTTAATTTTATTATTGTTTCCCACTTTTTACATGGTGGTAACATTACTCTAGGCTTCAGCATAGCATTCACTGGCTATGTATTTTAGTAGCATGCTTTATTTTGTTTTGACTTTATTGGTTCTGCTGCAGTAGCAAATGTTGTCTTTCATGGCAAAGATATTGTTTGGTTTATTGAGCATTAATTTATTTGTTTCAGATGGGTGTTGCTGTGTTGTTGTGAATGGAGAGGTTGTTGCTCAAGGCTCGCAGTTCTCCTTGAAGGATGTTGAGGTTGTGGTTGCTCAAGTAGATTTAGATGCGGTATGTTATAACTTTCACTTTTTAATTATGTGTATGTTTGTTGGGTATTCAGAAAGTATTATTTGTTGAAAGCTTGAATGCTATTAGTTATCTATTATGTCATATTAAGGTTTGATGCAGAAAAGAGAACGGCAAAAAGATAATTTCCGTACAAGAAGTCTTATAAAGAATTAATATGGAGGCAATTATTGAAGACTAACTACTATTAATGCCTAGTAGTCACAAAGAAGATTCTATTTATGCAAATTGGTGGCAGCTTACAGTTCACCTTTTTTCTAATGTTGTGCATTGCATTTCTTTGTTAATGACAGGTTGCTAGTTTAAGAGGATCTATAAGTTGTTTTCAAGAACAAGCAAGCTGCAAAACCAGAGTATCATCAGTAGCAGTGCCTTACAATATTTGCCGACCTTTTAACCTGAAAATGTTACTTTCCTGTCCACAGAAGGTTCGTTCTTGGTCAGAAAATATTGTTGTGAACATCAAAATATTTCCAGTATTACCAGTTGCTTATTACCTAATTGCATTATTTATGAATTGTAGATCATATATCATTCTCCCGAGGAAGAGATTGCATTTGGTCCTGGCTGCTGGCTATGGGACTATTTAAGAAGAAGTGGAGCTTCTGGGTTTTTGCTTCCTCTTTCTGGTGGTGCAGACAGTTCCTCTGTGGCTGCTATAGTTGGATGCATGTGCCAACTTGTTGTCAAAGGTTAGTATTAGGATTTCATAGCATCCTGCAGCTTACTAACATAGTAGCATTGCATCTTTTCTGCTTTTATTTTAGAGTTAAGAAATTTAGTTCCTCAAGGAGAATCCTTTCCTGTCATTAAAAGCCTGGGCAACAAGTCTTCTGTAGCATATTTTCTATTAATAATTAATTTTGTGAATGCATACTGTTTTTCAGAAATTGCAAATGGAGATGAACAAGTTAAAGCTGATGCGATACGGATTGGGAATTACACTGATGGGCAGTTTCCTACTGACAGCAAGGAATTTGCTAAACGTATATTTTATACAGTCTACATGGGTTCTGAAAATAGGTGAGTTCACAGCATGGATCCAATTCTCCTCTTTCTTCAAGCTAGTCATAACTTTGTTGTGCTGAATCTATATATGCTACAAAGTATTAATGCTAAAGGGGGAAAATGATCATATTTCAGTTTGCAGTAATATTTCTTAATCCAGCATGAATGATCATTTGGCACTTGATATGAACTGGTTATTGTTCTAGTAACTCCCCTTTCTGGTTGCTCTTGAAGAAATTTGTGACCTACTATCCCGTTGTTATGTCTTCATAGTGATTTATTGTTTTTACCAGTAAGTTAAGGAGAGCCATGTCACCTACATGTTTTCTGTCAAGAAAAGTACTTTCTGAAGATTGTTTGCAGCTTTACATTCTTGAAATTTTACAGTATATTGTAAGAGGAGTTTTTTTATTGCAGTTCTGAAGCCACAAAGATGCGGGCTAAGTTATTAGCAGATGAGATTGGTTCTTGGCATCTTGATGTTTGCATAGATAGTGTTGTTTCATCTCTGCTATCCTTGTTTCAGACGCTTACTGGAAAACGACCACGCTATAAGGTTAACTTTATGATGACAAGTTGTTTTCTTATTTCCTCTATAGGGTCAACTGGCCCAGCATATGCCATAGCCATTCTGTGGTATCTTAGGTGAAATACATATACATTTTTTCCACGAGTAACAAAATACATCGATAAGAATTTATACATTATTGCCAGCCATCGGCTCTTGGAAATGTCTTTTATTTCTCTTCTTGAAGAAATGTAATGTCTGGGAAATTATTCTTTAACCAATTTTTTTTGAAAGATATGTCTGAAATGATTATTTTCCATTTTGCAGGTTGATGGGGGATCCGCTGTTGAGAACTTAGGATTGCAGAACATTCAAGCTCGAATCAGAATGGTGTTAGCTTTTATGTTAGCATCACTGTTGCCCTGGGTTCACAACAAAAGAGGGTTTTATCTTGTTTTAGGTAGCTCTAATGTGGATGAAGCACTACGTGGTTACCTTACAAAGGTCTACACCTTTTTCTTTTCTTTTTCCCCTAATTAGGTGTAAACAATCGGTGTTTTATTCATGTTTTTTTAGCCATAGTTATCTCAGCTAACAATACTCTTGCAGTATGTGCAAAAAAAGTTATTGCCGGAATTTACTTTTAATTTCTTTTACAGTATGACTGCAGCGCATCAGATATAAACCCAATTGGTAGTATTAGCAAACAGGATCTTCGGATGTTTTTGCGGTGGGCTGCCAACCATCTTGGTTACTCATCCTTGGCAGAAATCGAAGCAGCTCCACCCACTGCTGAACTGGAGCCTATTCGTTCCAACTACAGCCAGGTATCATTTCCCTGAAACTTCATAATTTTATTAAAATTCTTCAAGGCTTTCTTTTTTAGCTTTTTTACTAAAAATCAACATAATTAAGTTTAAAGGATGGAAGATTTAACTGTACATTTTGCATGAAACAGCTGGATGAAGTGGACATGGGAATGACATATGAGGAGTTATCAGCCTATGGGAGGCTGCGGAAAATTTTCCGCTGTGGTCCAGTATCAATGTTCAAGGTTTGATTGCTGAACTCCTTACTCTATCCACCATATAACATTCAATTTTCATGGTCTTTAGATATGTCGATGCCTCTTAGATGTGATGACCATGTATGATCCCTATGGGAGGGGGCTTTTCCCCCTTCCAAATTTCGTACTTTCATGCATGGTTGTAAAAAGCAGACTGGCCAGTTGGATCAGGAACTGTACACCAAACCGGCTCAACATCCTGTCTGGTTATCAAAACATTGCTTTCATGGACTCAACTTCCAATTGAATGCTTAGTATATCTGTAGAACCTTGTTTCAAAATTATCTTGTTTAGTTGAATATGGCTAACTGCACAATAAAATCTAAAAATGAGGATTGGCATGTTTCAAAAATAAGTGATAGCATGGTCATAATTGGTTGCTTTTTCTTAGAGACTCATTTTTCTGGTTCTGTCTTATTTGTTGTAGAATCTTTGCTATAAATGGGGTGCAAGATTAACTCCATCAGAGGTGGCTGATAAAGTAAAACACTTCTTCAACTACTATTCCATTAACAGACACAAAATGACTGTATTGACACCTTCATATCATGCTGAGGTACGTCAACTTCAGGCATCGATAATTTTTCCAGTTTCGAAGTCGGGATTTAATGGTGATACTTTTGGTATTCCTTTTGCATTCTTTCCTGCAGAGTTATTCACCTGAGGATAATAGGTTTGATCTCCGCCAGTTCCTTTACAATTCAAGATGGCCATATCAGTTTCGCAAGATTGATGAACTTGTGCAAGAGTCAGACGGTAATAAAATTGCTTTCACGGAATCAGGTGACCACAAAAAATTGGGTGCTACAGCTGGTGTTGGTGGGATGGGAGTTGTGGCTGCTGCCTCTGGCAATCCTAAAGCTGGCCTTTAATCAAAAGAACAGATTGAACTTCGCTAGTTCTGTCCAAATAACATTGCTTCCATCATTTATTTTTAGAACAAAAGATCCGCTTTACTTCAGTTTCCATTTTTATTTTGTCCAGTTATGGGAGTTGTAATGAACTTATATAAGCTCAACCTAATTTGTATATCCTTTAAATGATTTTAACCGAAATATATGACATCAAGAAGCGCACAAGAATAAATTTTCTCAATAAAATTGGAATTCTCAAGTGTTTTGGACAATAAAAATGACAAATGCAATATCTATAGGCAGAAAAGTAGATTTTTTATTTCAAAATGATAATCAAAATAGAAGAATCCGCACTCTGGCTAAAGTTATAGCCTCCAGGAATTTTTGGGCTCAAAATAAGCTGAGACAAACCCAGACCATAAATCAAGTGTGTTGGACATTTACAATGCTCTGAGGAAGGCGTTTAGATTCGAAAGTTTAATATGCACGGGAATTGGAAAAGTGTCGTTTAACAGAACAGAGCAAAATACAAAGTAATGAAAACAAAAGATCCCTTCAAACGGTGTCTTCACCCATAAAACAAGCGACGAAAGGGGACCATTAGAAAAAAATTACAGTATCCTCATTTCACCTACGCTACGCTCTCATCTTTCTCACTCCTGCTGCTTGTTCAGCTCAGCAGCAGCAGTCAATATAATTAGAGATTTTTATAGTTCGTCATGTGAATCATCCTCTTCAGTTGATCCGCCTCCTGGACCTCCACCAGATCTTTGGTAAACAGCCGTGATGATAGGGTTGCAGACAGCCTCAACCTCCTTGAGCTTCTCTTCGTAGTCTTCCTTCTCAGCACTCTGGTTGTCATCAAGCCACTCAAGGGCCTCCTTCACAGCGGTTTCAACTTTCTCCTTCTCATCGGATTCAAGCTTGTCAGCAAGCTTATCCTTGTCATTAATCTGGTTTTTCATGTTGTAGACATAGGTTTCCAGGCTGTTGCGAGCATCAATCTTTTCCTTCACCTTCTTGTCCTCCTCCGCAAATTCTTCTGCCTCACGAACCATTCTCTCAATCTCCTCCTGGCTCAGACGACCCTTATCGTTGGTGATAGTGATCTTCTCTGATTTACCTGTGCCCTTATCTTCTGCCTTAACATTTAAGATACCATTTGCATCAACTTCAAATGTAACTTCAATTTGAGGGGTTCCCCTGAGCAATCGAGGGATCAAACAGTAAGTCAGTAAATTCAGATGAAGATTTGCAGAAAACAGAAAAGAGAGCTAATGGAGGAGAGAGCAAACCTTGGAGCTGAAGGAATTCCAGTAAGATCAAATTTCCCAAGCAACCTACAATCCTTTGTTAGACTCCTTTCACCTTCGAAGACCTGATATCAAACCACAGAAATTCAAATAAGGTTCAAACTATTCTGGTTCTTAGCATTAAAAAATCCAATTCTCAAGCATTTCTAAGCTTTAATGATAAGCCTGTAACATGTACCTGAATGGAGACAGTGGTCTGCTGATCCTGATAAGTGGTGAAAACTTGTGACTTCTTGGTTGGGATAACAGTGTTTCTGGGAATCAACTTGGTCATTACTCCACCAACAGTCTCAATACCAAGGGTAAGTGGTGCCACATCAAGGAGAAGAATATCTTTGCATAAAGCATTCACACAAAAATCAGCCATAATTGATTCAATTAGAACAGTTTCATCAGCTACAGGCTTGTATAGTTATGATAAACAAAGTTACAGAAGATGAAAATGTACCTTTGGTTTCATCACCACCCTCTCCACTCAAGATGCCTCCTTGCACTGCAGCACCATAGGCAACTGCTTCATCTGGGTTAACACCTTTGTTGGGCTCCTTTCCATCAAAGTAGTCTTTAAGGAGCTGTTGAACCTTAGGAATTCTAGTGCTTCCCCCTACAAGAACAATTTCATCAATTTGGTGCTTCTCCAAACCGGCATCTTCCATTGCCTTCTTCACAGGTCCCATGGTCTTTCTGAACAGGTCATTGTTCAACTCCTCAAAGCGAGCCCTGGTCAGTGGTTCCGAGAAATCAATGCCATCAAAAAGTGATTCAATCTCCACACGGACCTGGTGCTGGCTGCTGAGAGCTCTCTTGGCACGCTCAGCTTCCCTCCTAAGCTTCCCAATAGCCCTGTTATCCTTGCTGATATCCTTTCCATGCTTTTTCTTAATCAATTTAATAAAGTACTCCATAACTCTCTGGTCAAAATCCTCACCTGCAAGAAAATTTACCATAAGCAAAAATCCATAAAAGAAAACAATTTTTTAAAGCCTCAAAGCAAACAAGGAAGATCCTTACCTCCCAAATGAGTGTCTCCATTTGTGGAAAGAACCTCAAATACACCATTATCAATTGTCAAGATACTCACATCAAATGTCCCACCACCAAGATCAAAGACAAGAATGTTTTTCTCACCACCCTTCTTGTCCAAACCATAGGCAATGGCAGCTGCAGTTGGTTCATTGATGATCCTTGCCACATTGAGCCCAGCAATAATGCCAGCATCCTTGGTGGCCTGCCTCTGGGCATCATTGAAGTAAGCTGCAAATCAAACAGAGAGATAATTTAAGCATAATCATGGATCAGATAAACAGAAGCTTTTTTCCAACAGAGAACACTGTTTCTTATAATGCACTCACCAGGAACAGTGACCACAGCATCCTTGATTTTCTTCCCAAGGAAAGCTTCAGCTGTTTCCTTCATCTTAGTCAGAACCATAGCACTGATCTCCTCAGGACTGAAGACTTTGGTCTCTCCATCCTTAATCTTTACTTGAATATAAGGCTTTCCATCCTTATTCACAATCTTAAATGGAACAAGTTTCATGTCCTTCTGGACCTCCTTATCATCAAACCTGCGAAGAACAAAAGCACCCCAGTTAGAATTATACCCCAATCAACCCCTAAAACATAAAATAAGAAACATGAGAAGAATGTGAATTACTTTCTCCCGATAAGTCTCTTGACATCAAAGATGGTTCTCTCCGCATTAACAGCTGCCTGGTTCTTTGCAGCCTCACCAATCAGCCTCTCGTTGTCAGTGAAAGCCACCCAAGATGGTGTAATACGGTTACCTTGGTCATTGGCTATAATTTCGACATGACCATTCTTGTAAACACCAACACAAGAATAAGTTGTACCAAGATCAATTCCAATGACTGTCCCCAATTTAGTGGCTTCCTCCTTTGCAATTGAGATTGCAAAGAGACATCCTGTTTGAAAGCTTACACAATGTTAATACCATCATAGAGGCCCTTTTGATAACACTTTTTAAGATCATTTTTAAGTGCAATCATGATGTTCTCCCACGCGATTAAAGTAAATTATCTTATTGAATCAGAAATCAAGACCAGATTTGGCAAAACTGCCACGTGTAGCACAGATCAAGATAAAACGGAATCCTAACGAACTTTCTAGAACATTCTCGTGCATAACATTAATAATAATCTGTACTCAAATAAACGCTAAACATGAATCAATTTTTTTATATGAAATAAGGGCTTCCTAGCGTACAAATAAAATAAAAAAAAGCTTATTTGGATACAATAAAAGTACAAATACTTATAACTCTTTCAGTATTTTAGCCTTTTATTAATTAGTTCAAACTTCATTTTTAGATAATAGTTCTAATCAAACTAAGTAGTAAGTCATTCATTCTATAAATCCAGAGGTTTCTATTCTTGAATCAATGGAGAGTAAATCAAACGATATGAGATCGCAGAAACTCTCATTTCACGGACTAACGCACCAATAGAACCAAAGAACTTGAATCAGATCCAAACATGCACCAATTTACCGGCAAGAAAATCATCAAACAAAATTAGATCTACTACGTTTCTTCACAAACAGAAAAATGAATCAGAGATCACGATCACATGAAAACAAGAAGATCTAGCAAAAACCAGGAACAGCACCGCACTCACCGGACAAGACTATCGCTAGAACCACCAAAGAGCCGCTTGCTCTCCACGAGCCAGCCATCGCACGTCCTCAACTCTTATCTCTCTCTTCGAAGAAGTCTCTTGGAGCTTGTTCTCTGAATCGCTGTAGCGTTTAAAATGAAATGAGATTTTTCGACTGAGACTTTCCCTTTTTCCAAGCTGCCAGGTGAGTCGCGGTTCGAGCTTTTTTATATTTGGGGTGTCCGCGTCTAAAGCAGGTTTTTCAGATGGGAACAAAATGAGAGAACATGTCATCAGTGCTGACGTGGACCAATAAGGTTTCGAGACGGATTCGTTGAGCCAATGAACTTAGATCCCGTGTTGGGGAGATCTTGGCCGTTTATTTTCCCAGATGTTTGCGTCTCCGCTTCCCTTGCTTTCCCCGATTTAGATTATTAAAAATAGGATGAGAGTAGGCCGACACCAGAACTCAAAACGCGCCAACACGGAGTCGTTTTAGACCAGCCCACGTGCAAAATTAAAAGCCATTGGTTTCTATTATGAAAAATGGGCTTACTGCCAACTACCAGCACATTGAATCAATTTTTAAAATAAAATTGACCAAATACATATAATAATAAAATTAAAAGTTGCCATGCAATGCCATTATTCATTCAATAATTGATGATTTTTTTATTTAAAAAGTATAGATCGAAATCTTTCATTTCTCAAATTAAAAAAAACATTTATAAAAAATGGAGATAAAAGGAAAATGAATAATAAAGGCCCTGGTTGAATTTTTTTGACAGTTTTTTTTTATTAGTGTAAAAAGAATTAACTAGCTTTCTTCTTGAGTAAAATAAATCACTTCAGTAATCAGGTAAGGCTTAATTAAGAGTTAATTAGACACAAATTAATGTTGTAAATTATTTCATTAGTTGATAGATCACAAAAACTAACGTAAGACTTGTCGTAACGGTTTTGGGATCGTCAAATGTAAAGAATTTTAAAATCGAAAAAAATAAAAAGAGAGTCATCTCACCAATCTTTGTTAGGATATGATTGGTCACCCAAAAATTTATCTTTTTAATAAAACTATAAAAACGGTTTAAAGTTTATCAAAAAGATAAATTTTGATCTACAAAAAATCAGGTTAGGCTTGGGAGTCAGTTACGTGTGGAAAAAGATTAGCACCCCCCACAGCGTTCATAAATTGGTACCATTTAATCATACGTTATTTTCTGATGTTGAATGAAATGGTTTTGATTTAAAATTTAATAATAATCCATTTTTATTATTTTAAAAGAAAGAAAATTAATT